GATGATCCGAGGCCGGAAGAAGGTGGTATAACTTTTTCACGCGCATTAAATGTAGGTATTTAATAAAATAAAATTTTTACATGTCAATTCTTAGTAATGTAATTCTATAAATGTAAAATTTTAATTAATGAGGAGACATTTTACGATTTAAAAAAAAATATAATTCTACTCGTAACTCATATGGATTTTATAATCGCGAATAAATGCCATTGCTCCTAAATCTTTAAATGTTAAATCGCTTATTTATCAGAATTTTCATTCATTCTAGAATATTTAAATTTATATATATATATATATAGATTTTTAAATTTGTTGATTCTAGAATATTCAAAACCTTTCATTAGTGCATCGTTCCCTTATTTTCTATCGTTGGTATCATATGATGCTTTCCATTTAGTGACACAAGTCGACAGAAGTATCGTTCTAACTTTATTACTCACTGAATATCACGAAAGACAGAACGATGCTTACGTGAAGACTTGTGTCACCAAATGGAAAGCAGCCATAGTCCTCTAAACTCCTATGAATTTCTACGCGCATTTTTCAAAGGTAAATTCCGCATCTTAGATTTCTTACGATCGAGTTTGAATTTGGAAAAAAGAAACCTGAAAATCGATTTTAAAACCACTAAACTACCTATTCCATTCACGCTTCCTGATCGATCCTAGATTCCGCGCGAGACTTCTAGGAATCTCTCTATCCAGTCTCGACGCGGCACAGCGCGGCACAGCGCGGCACAGCGCGGCCGGGCGCACCAGACTCATTGGCTGGCGATGCGTCGTCTCTAGCGGTGCTTTCCTGCGCTATACAACGCTCGTGGTATAGGTCAGTGAAGTAGGAGCAGTTCCCCCACTACGCCAGCTCCTAGACAACGGGTCTACGATTGACTCATCTAGCCAGTCATATCGCGCGTAAACACGATCCGCTCCAGCTGTTTTCGCGCGCTCTCGGGGCCTCTTGCTACTATCGCCTTCCTCTCACTTTCTCTCTCTCTCTCTCTCTCTCTCCCCCCTCCTCTTGCTTCTTGAGCGAGCTCTACGTTTCCTCGTGCGTTCCCGCGTGTTCTACCCGCGCATATATGTATACGCGTACTGCGCGAGAACAACGGCGTGTTCTCCGTATTTTTAGAGCCACCTCGAAAATCTTCTGCTCCCTTGCCGTTCTCCTATTTTTCGTTCGCGTCTTTTTCCCCTTTCCTTTCCTTTTCTATTTCTCTCTTTCTCTCTTCATCCTCAAATATTGCTTCATTTCTCTCGCGCTATTTATACCGCAGCCTTTACAGTACAGTTATTGAAACCTTGTCGCGTTACGTCGGTTTATCACCAGTCAGAAATGTTTCAGTGGATTTACGTCTTACGTATTATCGCATCTATCGAGAATAAATTCTTTGTTTTTATCTATTATTATGTAAATATCGTGAATTTAGTATCTACTTGCTACTTTCGCTTGCTGTTCTTGATTTCTACTGGTTTGCAATTATTTTCTACGTAGTTCAATCTTACAATCTTATTAGAGGTTTTCGCTCATGGCATAAAATATATAAAGCGGATTTCTATCTATTTACTTCTTCTTTCTTGGCTCGAGATAATTTTGCATAATTTGTTAATACCTTCGCATTAAACTGCTTTGACATATAATGTCAAATAATGTCGTATTGTACATAAATGCCGTTATTTCGAATGACATTATTTTGCTACTCCATCACTTCGGAGGAAATAATACTGCCAAATAAATATTCTCCCTCGCTCGCTCCGGCCTCCTCTCTCCGCGCGCGTGTCCCATCGGTTCACAAACCAGAAAACCTCGAATAATCGCCCGAGGAATCGTTCAACCACGCGGGACTCCACGGAACTGCAACGCGCGACGCGCTAGAAGGATGCAGGCATCACAGAGGGAGAACGGGGAGAGAGCGACAGAGGACGAGAAAGGAAGATGGTGTGTGTGTGTGTGTGTGTGTGAGGGGGGGGAGGGGTTGACGCGACGACGAGGAAGGATAGGCACGAGAGGAGGCGAAGGGGGGAGGGAGCGGGAGGGAGCGTGAGGGGCTGGAGAACGAGTTCCGATTTTAGCGCAGTCGCGGCAGCCTCAGAACGAGCGGCGCTATTATGCACTAGTAGCTTGATGGCGTCACCCGTGCAACCTTGGCTCGGGTCAGTCCTCTATCATACTGCAGGCAGAGTTCCCCGATTCTCTCGAATCCCTCCCCCCTCGTCTCATCTCCCTCTCGCTCACTCTGAGCACTCGCCGCTCCGCTTGCCGCGCGCTCGACTCTCCGCTTTAACCCTCTCTCCCTCTCTCTCTCCCTCTCTCTCTCTCTCTCTCTCTCTCTCTCTCTCGTTCCCTCTTCTCGTCTCTTTATCTCGATCCGTCTTCTCTTCCTCTCAACCCAGTGGCGTAAGGGGAAAAGATCTTCTCACCGCCTCGTTGCAGCAGTACTTCGAAACTTTTGCTTTCTCTCATCATTCTCGCGTCCATCGTCGCGTGCACGTAGGTGCGAAATGCTGAGAATTTCTGCTCTTTTCTTTTTCCTATATAGGAGCCGCATGGCGACATTTGTTACTCATCTCCGGACCATAAAGAACACGAGATTGACGAGATCCATCTCGAGGCAACTTTGAAACTTTCGCTTTCTTTCGACATAACGCGGCGCGTACTGTTTGCACGGTTTGCGCGTACGTATACGTGTGTCACGGCTGAAAATTTGTTTTCCTTTTCATATAAAAGCCGTACTTGACTGCCGCTCATTTACCAATGTAAAAGAGGTTTTATTATAGTTTCGAAACTCTTGCTTTTTGTTATAACGCGCCATATCTTTTCTCGTGTATATTCAAACGTTTGTTTCCTTTCAAAATGATTCTCTCACGAGAAAATCTGTCGAGATAATGTTTACCTAATTTCGAATCTTCAATTTCCTCCAATATCTCTTTCGCGATAATACTTCCAAATATTAAACTTATAACTTTTTATTTCACACGGTCGACACGATTCCGAACCAACGAATTTTACCAAGATCGAAATAGACTAATAGACACTGACATTAAAGTTGTAAAACTTTCTGGGCCGAACTCGATTTTTACAAGGAGGCTTCTTATTAAATTTTCACGAATGTGCTGAAATTTGACGATTCCCTGGGAGATCGCCGGCTGCGTTTCAATGTGAAATTTGCGAGAAAGGATCCTCGGTTTAGGAAGGAAGAACTGCGTGACGATTCTCGCGCACGTCCGGCGTGTTTTTCTACGCCCATGGACCGTGATCCTATGCTCGCGGCACAAACTCAGATCGTGTGCACTCGCGTTTGTACGATCGTACCGACACAATCGACATATTGCGCGGTATTTTTGTATCCACTCCTGGCTAAATCACATGTTGTGTAGACCAGCGTTTCGGCAGATCTCGAATTCCTTTCAGACAATACAAAGTTCAAAATTGGGACATCTTACTAATGCCCATTTCTATTAATGTAGATTAACCTTAATCTTGTTTTAATTTTCTTTTTATTCTTTTCTAATAATTCTTAGAACTAGAGAAAAAGATGAAAAGTAAATTAAATCGAGATTAAAGTTACATCGGTAGAAATGAGCATATGACGTCTTTTGGATGGTTCTCGCAGTCGTATCTTCAACCCTTTGTTACTTGTGTGAGTGTTCAGGACGTCCCTGCTTCATAAATTTGCCAAATATATGAATGTTGTTTATATATATTATATTTATATATTATAGCACAAATTGTTTCACGATTTAAAAAAGATTTTTACATTTATCTTCATCTAAAGGTGTTAAAAATATTATAGATATTATAGAATATTATTTAATTATAAATCATTAAAGAAAACAATGAAAACTGAGCATACTGTAGAGTGTCAGAAATATCTATATGTATATACTACACAAGTAATTACGCGTATACGTATAAAAAACACGCGAGAGTAATGTCGAGTTAAGACATCTTATAAGACATTTTGTATCCTGATTTTGGACTTTTGTTGTCTGGGCTGTTAATTTTTCTGTTTTTTCGAGTAAAATCGGAACATAATATCTAGCATAAATATGAACGATAGATAGATGATGAAGCGAGACGTGGAAGCAGATGATAGACTATCGAAAACAGCTACTCTCTTGTCGATGAATCAAGTGATGGAAATGACAAAGGCATCGGCAACGACGCGACAGTGATGATAGGCGATAACGACGTTTTCCCTCTTTGCCGCTTCGCGAACGATGGCTATTAATACTTAATTGCAACGTATACCTTTAAGCCACTCGGTGCGAAAACTAACGCGATAAACGCTGGCACCGACTCTCTAGCTTCGCCGCGAATCGAGATAATAACGCTACTCTTTGTCTAGGATTCTTTTGGGATGCGATTAGAACGTGCCTCTCCAAGGACAGGCTACTTCTTTTATCGCAAAATGTCCAAGTTGTTTCTGTACAATAGTCGTAGCGATATTGATTCTCTTATGATAAAATGGCTTCCATATGTTATTGTCCTTCATGCTTCAAGAAAATATACGCTTGTTGCATAATAAACAAAAAACGGCAGATCAAGATGCACATTATTATATGATCATTATGTTTAACTTGTAATCAAGTGCCTGTCATAAAAGAAGTCATCGATCATTATATGAAAAGAACTGTTTTGCTCAAATATTTAAAAATTCAGCTGAATATATACAGATCTGAATAATTTTGTTGAATTGTCAAAATAATGTCATTAAAATAATTGTCATAATAATAATTATGTAGAACGCTTAAACATTGATGATAGCGCTACAAAAAGTTTCGACGTTCTAGCCAGTTTGAGTGTTCCACATAATTATTTGGAATATTTGGATAGTCTGACAAAATCATTTTCAGATTTGGGTCTAGCTAAATTTTTACAGACATTAAAAAACTGTACTTTTTCTGTATAACCGTATATTATAGATAAAGATTCGTATGTATATAAATAATAATGCAGAAATTATTGGCAAGGCTTTAGTTAATCGCGCCTTTTTTTTTCAGTATCCGACAGCTACAACAGTTATATAAACATGTATGGCGGAGGTGGGCAGTTTGCGACCCCCTGTACCCCGAGTCCACCGCGGGGACCCGGCGGTGTACCCACCAGCGTGATCCAAGCGGCTACTAGTTCGGTCTCGGACGATCTCTACCTTCTCGAGCTCGGCTTCCCGTCGCGCTCGAAGAAGAACAAGCTGAAGAAACCGCGGCAGGGTGGCGAGGGTGGAGCCGCGGTGAAGCGGAAGTCGCGCGAGGGTTCGACTACGTACCTTTGGGAATTCCTGCTTAAGCTGCTGCAGGACCACGAATACTGTCCGCGCTACATCAAATGGACGAATCGCGAACGGGGCATCTTCAAGCTGGTCGATAGCAAGGCGGTCTCACGACTTTGGGGGATACACAAGAACAAGCCGGACATGAATTACGAGACGATGGGCAGAGCACTGCGCTATTACTATCAGCGCGGCATCCTGGCGAAGGTGGACGGCCAGCGGCTGGTCTACCAATTCGTCGATGTGCCGAAGGACATCGTCGAGATTGATTGTACGGGCGCATGAGACAGGGAGTCGGCCCGTCCCGCGGGGCACGAGAGGGAGAAGAAGGAAGTACAACAAGTACAGCAGCACAGCGTCTCGGCGCGGGCCCCGCGCGGACGTCGACCACCGTTGTCGTTGTCGTTGTCGTTGTCGTCGCTGTCGCTGTCGCTGTCGCTGATGCGACATCGCGGACCCGTCGCGGGGCCCCATCCGCGCGAAAGGTCGCCGTTCAGCGGTTCTCTTTGTCGAGACGCGCCGACCTGGCACATCCCTCAGATATTGTAAAGCGTGCGTCCTCTTTTTCTCCTTTTCTTTTTTTTTTCTCCCTCTCTTTCGCTGTCTGTCTCTCCCTACCCGCTTCTCTATCCCTCTCTATTTTCGTCTTTCTCTCTGGCTTCGTTTGTTCCTTGTATTATACCTATGTAAATGTATATTAAGGCGCCGCGTGACGATGTCGTCGGAGGTGGTCCCAACCCAGTACCTCGTCCTTCTCTTGCGGCCCATTTTTTTTTCGCGTGTCCGAATACCGTGTAGGATCGGAACAGAACGGCGCCCGACTCGTTGAAATTTGTACAAAATTTAGTTCTTAACGCGTCGAGAATGGAAACTAAAGATTTTATCTGGTGTACCTTGCGGGAGGGACACTATGGACAAATTACTTAAACCGCGAAGCACCGGAAAGCGAAAAATTGTATATTCGAAAGAGCGACAAATTATTTATTGTATATTAGACATTTATATATGTTACCTAAGAAAATTGTTACGCGCGTGATCTGCGCAAATGGAAAATGTATGGAAATGGACGAAAGTTATAAAAAAAATGAAACGAAATGAGGGCTGTGAAAAGGATTACGATACGGAGAGAAGAGGAGAGAGGAGAGGAGAGGACAGGAGAGAAGAGGAGAGGAGAGGAGACGAGACGAGAGAAGACGAGATGAGACGAGACGAGACGAGACGAGACGAGACGAGACGAGACGAGACGAGACGAGATGAGACGAGACGAGACGAGACGAGACGAGACGAGATGAGATGTGTAGTGGAACGAGAAAGGATGAGAAGCGTCTCTTGAAGTTTTACGGAGCGAGCTCAGGGAGGGGTACACATTATATTTTTTTAAGTATAAGCGGAAGGGTTTGACCCTTCCGATTTGTGAGCTGAGGGTTCAACAACGCAAGGTGCTGGCTAATAAACATGCATACACAATATACACTTGTATACACACACATACACACACGCACACCGAGGTCCAAGAAAATTATTATTTAGCAACCTAGTGTTATTAATTCGTAAAGATTATCGATGCGGACAATTATATCTCTGTATATAAATATAAAGAATACCTTTAGTAAAAATATATATATATTATTGAATATTATATATATTATATAAATATATCTATTATATGTTATGTAGTAAAAATGGAGCGATTTGATGTGTCTCTATGAGATTTTGGCGTCACGGCGACACGCGTTGGGCGCTTTTAACCGTCTCGCGCGACGTCTCTCTTTTGAAACTTTATATACTTATCTAGTTTGTTCTTTATAATATACATTATATCGGGAACGAATTTTATACGTTCGAGAGTGCCGATTTCGCGCTCGAGCCTTCTAAAGTCGCAGTCATAACGCACATATATATACACACACGTATATTGCTGGTCTCGCATACTCAGACTGATCAGAGACGTCGCACGTATAATACAGAGAAGTCTGCCCGACGCACCGGAAGCGTAATAATAAAAATGCATAACTCTAGAGTAAAATTTAACTTATTGGCGCCCCGGGACGCGTGACGTGCGCGAGTGCAAGTGTATCCTATAGCCCTAAGTTTTGTACATAAAGAGGAAATCGTCAAAAATATTATTTACGTTTAGGATGAATGTAACGCTGGTTATCCCCGTGATAATTATTCGTGAGAGAAAATGAAATGACGGACGGTGGAAAAAAAGAGCGGATGAGGAGCGTCTATCTAGATCACGCGCGACGACTAATGTGGTCGATCGCGCGTGCACAGGCCGATTTGTCGCATTACAGCCTCGGGATATATCGGAGAAACGAAATATAACAGTATATTTGAACAGTGATCCAGTGCTGCCAATAATGCCTGTAAATGGTCCCTTTGCACTTGTCGCTCGAATCGATGCTCTTCGAATCGAGCCTCGCCATGGTGCTGTCAGATCAATCCGATGTTTTTGGGACACCAGATATACCGATGATACAAAGCAAATTGCCTTCTCGTATTAACAAAGACGTGTTGCCTTCTAACAAAAAAAGATGCATATAAAAGTTCTAGCGATTTGTAATCGTAAATGCCGTCACTTTGTCCAGGTACTTAAAAGCCCTTTACATACATATAAAGTCCTAACATCGTTTTTGTGACGAATTGAATTTTGTAATTTTATCAGCGAAAAGTTCTATGGTACGTGGTGACTTTTATCGTACTTCGAATACAATATATCGGCGGGAAAATAGTAATAATATTATTAATAATAATATTAATAATGATAAAAAAAGAAGATATATCAGAGTACAATGGACAAAAGTACCTATAGTATACCACTTCTATACATGATAACGGACACTTATAAACAATGAATGGACACTACAACAGAAATCCTATTTTTAGGTAAATTAAATTTACATATACATAACAATCCACTACACTACGAGATATTTTAACAAATAAGACTTTATTATAATAGAGATAAATACATAATTATTTACCTGTAAAATATATGAAAACACGATGGATTGACGTAAGGAACTCTAATGTAACGTTCTGTGATTCGTTGTTTGTAGGTGAAATTTAATAAAAGATTATTGTATCATAATATATACATTCATGCGATTTTATTTTTTATTCCTACAGTTACAATTAATAAATTTTCTTGGATTTTAACTTTAATATAAACAATTTTTATATAAAAAATATTAAAGAATAAAAACATATGAGATAAAACACGAAATTTTAATAATGTAATTAATATAATAATTACATATAGAATATAAGGACTTCTACAGACGAGTAACTTTATAGCGCTACACTTGAAAGCGCCGACCCGTTCATATGGAGCTATTCTATAGCGTGATAGAAAAGTGTCGCGAATATGTTCACTTTTCTGTAGGTGCTATAAAGTCGCTCGTCTGTAGGAGTTCTAATAAATTTATCTGAGTTTCGTTAAAGATTTGTGATCATAAATGAGTAAAAAAACTCATATATGTAATTAGTTATTATGGTCTGTTGTTTTCATATATATTTTTTTCTTTCTTTTGTAAGTAGAATGCTATATTTTTTGTATTACTTTTTTCCTTTATTTAATTTTCATTTAATTCGCAAACTGCAATTATCTCTGTCGATAATCGTAGTCCACAAAAAAATTATCACCGTCGATAATCGTAGTTCACAAAGAAATTACCACTGTCGATAAGTAAATGATTACCGTCGATAAGTTAATTTCCATTTGTATAAAATTTACCGCGCTATCGATAAAATAATCCTGCTAAGGATCATTTTACGATTCGCCGATTAACTTAATCGGCGAATCGTAAAGCGACCCTTAGAAACTTTCAGCGATTTGCAATAGTATCTTGAATTTTTATAATTATCAAAAGACATTCGGTTGTAATTATTATGCAACAACAAGTACAAAAATTATTCATTTCTATATTTCGACGAATTATGAACAATGAAAACCTAAAAAAATATACTAAAGGCGGTATTCATAGTCCGTTCTTATTTCAAGACTGTCTAGGCCTGCTAAGGCGGAATCCATAGACGGTACTCAAGATTCGAGATGGTCTTAAGCCGTAATCACACTAGCGATTGCCGATTGGATTGGGATTGCGATTGGCTGCGTTCAGCAGAGAAAGCAGCTTTGCAACTGTTGTAAAATTCTT